TTCGACCGCAATTATTGATGCCCCCTCTGGTCGCGGTAAGCCAGACAGGATGTTGCTAGGCAGGCTATGTTTAGGGCACATTTTCTAGCCCACTTCCCATTTGGGGTGAGCAGAGTGGATCCTGGTGGGTCTGCTCAGTCACAGCTACAGCTGCCGGGATGCACTCCTGCCTAATCCGAGTGCATGCCGTCTTGGTGCTGGGTTGTGACTAGGAGCTTCTAGCTGCATAGGCCTGCCCCGCTCGTCACTTGCCAATCGCCCAAGGGCTTTGGGTGTGTAGTGTGGTGGTGCGATGGCACAATTTCCCTGGAGGGTGCCAGTGCATTAATTAATTTACGTGCAGTGTCTGTTGCACACCAGCTACCGCACGGTGCTTAACCAGGAACCAAGCCTGGGTCCAATGGCGAGGCAGAAAACCAAGACGATTGGAAGGCTTGTCCTGAAGCACCAGACATCCAGTGGCTTCTCCGCCATGTGCCTTTGGCCATCTGGACTGTAGCTCAGTTGCCCCACCGAGGTGGGCCGTTGGCCACTTGGCATCCACTCGGGATTTTATCAGGGTTTACTCCCTTAACCTGAGTGGCTAACCAGAGCCCCGTTAGCCAGCGCGTTTCCAGGTGAGTCCAGACAGGCCTTCTTGGTTACCGAAGCGGCCCAGGTGGTCGAACCACCGACCATACTTCGCCCTGTCTGGCAATCCTGTACTTTACCTGCTGTTACCACCTGCCACGACGTGGATGAGTTTGTAACTAAACCCGGGGGTTTAGTTACAAACTCATCCTAAAATAATGCAGTGCAGCCACCGAACTTGACATAAATGCTCGACAGTTCTGAAGTGCTACAATTACACATTAAAATGTAACTATCGATACACGGGTAAGGATCAAAGTAACAAATTTCATTTGCAAATGTGGTTGTATCGAGCACTCATTTTCTGCTTCAGGTTTGTAACGAGGTGCAAGTTTTAATCGAGTGATATTAGCCATGATATTAGCCCATGGCAATTCCACCGACCACTATGCTACTGCTCGACACACAAGCACAGAGGGTTAGGGATATAAATACAAACTGTACTGTACCACTGTGTCACAGTTGCCAATCGAAGACACAACGGCAGACTGCCGTGCATGCAAATTCAATTCCGATTTGACGAGGGTCAGAAGCAAAGTGGAATGCAAAATGTTGTACACCATATCTGGTGTCATTGTCATTATCAAGGTCACTGCCTTGGCTCATGTCATCGCATACTGAGCAGATACTTATGAATTGTTGATAGGGTATCTTACCAACAGCAAGAATTCCTTTGGGCACCTGCTGGATGGAACATTCACAGTAAATATTGTAGGGCGAGGGGTGGGAGTGTGGTGGCTGGGTGTGGGGAGTGGCGGTGCAGTGGTTAGCGCGTTGCCCGACGAACTCGGCAAATCGAATTCGATTGCCGCTCGCGGTCAACACCAGTGGCGATTATTTGAACTGGTCCTCGGCATACCCTCAAACGAGCATCTGGTGTGGTGTGTAATTATTATTTTTCTGACCAAAGCACCCTCAAAGCACCCAATTACATCAGATCTCGGGAGCCAAGCAGAGTTATTAGTCGGATGGATGAACTCCAGGGCTTGCCAGGTATTGTAGTTTTGAGGCTGTGAAGTGATGGTCAGGTGATGCCAGCGCTGAGTGTTACCCCATCATATGTATAGAGTTTTTTTCTCAATCACTCATCAATGGACTCGGCTGAACACTCCCAACACAAGACCCTCCTGAAAAAAGTCTTCATAAATAACTGTTTTTTTGTTGTTGTTTTGTATCGTTTTGTATCGTATTGTTATTATTCATAATGCACAGATTAAATGAATACTTATTTCACATTATTATGCCTACATAGCCTGAGCTCTGAATGTAAATTATCAATAAAGTAACCATTGTCCATATGTCTGGAAAATAATGTATTCTGGTTGATTAGCGCAATAGAAAAGAGCCCAAATAAATATCTACAGATGGCCCTGACTTAAGTTCATAATATTATTGGGAATTTCCGGAATTAAAAGCAGAGGCTGAGGATGCCCAAAAGCAGAGGAAATTGGCTCTGTAAAGCTACTTCTGTATTAAGTTAAAGGATAACCATCCGCTCCCAGATGTCTCCTGACCCTGATTATATCGTATCGTCCACACCTGCTTTGACAGTTTGACATCATTACTGCGGCCAGCATTTCCAACTGATCTTGACCGCGAACTTCGGGCGTCACGTTTCAAAATATGATTTGCAACTGCTCAATATGTTTTATAATGCAAAAACCGTGATCGACGGACAACCACAATGGATGCTGTCACACACCAGCTTATTGATATTCGCGATGCGTGGGAACGCAGTCATCTGATGTTGTGTCCTATTCAAATTTCTGACGTGCACTGGAGTGGTTGGGTTGCAGAGATAACATTCTGCAGGAGAATTACTCCACACGTGCATTATCAAGAAGGATCTGTGGGTGCATCGATCACGCATGGGGCCCACTGTCGTCTCTGCTGAGAAGAAAGGAGGGCCGATGCCTGGAACATTCACCGGCTGTGTATATTGCTGCTGTAAGGCGGTGCGTCTTGTACTGAGGATGGTGGTGAGGTTGTTATCAGCCTATGCTAGCATAGTACACGATGGCCAGTGCAGTGACTAAAGTGGTTACGCCATTTTATATCGCAGCTTGAGGCTTCACGGGAAAATATCTGTAGGAGATATCACAGCAAGATGTTTTTTTTTCTTCCCCCCCCCCCCCTCTGCGGCGTTCGAGTCGTCTTGAGCGTACTTCTTGAGTGCTCACCAGCTTATTCAGATTCAATCACACGCTGACGAGTTATCAAAAAAATAAATCCGTGACACATCCAAAGCAATAAACCCTACTGAATAACAGTCTTGAGACTCCGCGATGGTTCCCTAGATAAACACATTGACGAGGCGATTAAAAACAAAACTGACTCGAGCAAAGAGCCGGCGTTGGCAGGCTTCCTTCTTGCGAGCATCACGGCACGATGCAGGCTGCTTGCACTATTTAATGATGCAACGGTTCCTTTGAGTAGTTTTTTTGTTTCGTGTGAAAACGACAAGAGTGACTTTCGTCAACCAGATGTGTCTTCACACAGGTGAACGCTGAGCGAGGTGCAATTGTTGTCGAGATCGATACATTTAACTTATCGCAGACTTAACAATGTTTGCCAAATAGAATGGCGGTGATCAATAACTGCTATTGGTGTTTGCCTACAGCTCATTACATTCTGAACCAATCAAGGATCAGCATGTGTCCCTGATCAGTGTCAACATCGTCAAAACCAGCTGTCTTTTGTTGAAATTTTTCATGTATAGTAGCGTATGTGTGCTTGGCACAAAGTGGGATGTATTAGTGTACGCTTTCGCGAACTCTCATTTTGGTTAAATTTGCTCTGTCAAAAAAGCATACTTAGTTTGCAGTCGATGCCACATTGGGAAGTGAGTTAAAATTGAGTTACAAGATTCGAGGATACAACAACAACAACAGACAGAGTGAGTTAATAGAAAGCGTGCAAGAAGCACACTGGTGTTTTGAATATTTTGTAACGATATGAAATAATATCTTTTAACATTTTTTTTTTTGCAGCAAATTTCATATATTGTACAATGCAACCACATATCTCAAGTTTATAACTGGGGCACATCCAAGTCTGGTTATCTGCAACAAATACTCATGCGGATAATCGTCTCCATCTGTCTCAAACAATTGGAAACCATTTCAGGCCACAATCGACGACTCTAATGCTCTGCGGCTATAGCCTTGTAAAGCAGGGCACAGAAGAGGCCAAGGCTCATGTGTCACGGGAGGTTCACGACACAGGGTGTGTGTGCGTGTGTATCTGCCCGTATGTTGTGGATTCTATTGAAGCGATACAAGCAATGTGCTATGATCTCAGGGAGCCGGGTTCAATATCAGGTCACGAGGCACTACGCCGACAGCAATTTGTGTCTCGCTCTCACTTGCTTTCGCGTGAAAGTTTGATGATACCTCACTGTTACCCTTCCATGATGCCGGTGAAGCAGAAACAGCCTCGACAAGAAATGCAATGACACACCTGTATTTGTGTGTAATGTACCGTCACGAACGGATGTATTCGTGAAAGTGCATCAACGCAACTTCTGGAAATAGTTTTACGTCAAGGGGATTTGAGATGGGTTTAATTATGCATATTTTTTTACAGTAAAAGTTACATTAATTAAACGATTTATTGTAGTGTAAATGCATGTTACATTTTAATAACTTTTACAGCATTGTATAACTGGGAACATTGTGCTTTCGTACCAAACATCTCCTCCTGAACTCAATTTCAACTCGAAAAAAAATGTCGAATGGTCAGTTGATACACAGTGTTAATGTCCACATTTCGGGAACTCAAAATAACGAGTGTAAACATTGTGAAACTTTGCTGGCTGATAACATTTACTGGAATCAATAATCTGAAATACGATAAAAGGGCTGGAAGGAAGCCCTCGGCTATCATCGGGCGTGCAGGCCCAGAGCTATAGCTGCTAAAATGACGAAGTTCCTCCTCCTGTTGCTCACTCTGAGCGCATTCGGAGTAATTTATCTCAGCTCTGCCGTGGAATTTCCCAGGCTGCTCTACACCCGCACTGTCGACTGTCAAGTGGGATTCCTCAACGTTCTGCACAACCCCGTGCCAAGGTGGTAACCAATTCTGTGTGAATAACCGACGAGATAAACAACGCTTGTCGACTGCTTTTTAAGAGGCACTCGCCACAAATTCACCGTTGTGTACTGCTTTAATCTGAGCTTTGGAGGTGGGTTTTGTGGATTGGACACAGACCATCTTGTGTAAGCAACAAAAACGGTTCAACACTGACCATTCGATTGTCACAAACTGTTACAATTGGCCTTGCATTGATCGATCACAGTGTGATGATGATTGTGATTGGCTGAGTCTACAACCAGCTAAGAGTGAACTTTCAACCTCCTATGAGCCTGGCATTCAACCTTCTGTGAGGCTGGCATAACCACAATTCCGTATGTAAGAAAAGAAAACGTGGTAGAGGTGCAGCCCTGCAAATCCTTGCTCCCACCACTGTTGGTGGAAGGGCCTCCACTCGAGAGAGCTCCAGAGAACACCTTTGGAGGGTATTTTGGCCGACGCCTTGAAAGAGGTGGAAATACTCGTACTGTACTTTACCACACACGACCTACCAATCAACTAACTTCGATGTAACCATTTATATTGCTGGATGGACAGAGGAGGGGGCATTTAAGAAACGTGCCCATTGGTTTTCAACTCCCAGCGACAGGCAATTGAACCGATGGCCCCTGGATTGCAGATGGAACGTGCTATCCATTTAACGCGTTGGCTTTTGCGACCAATATTATTCATAACAAATGGTTTTTTTTAGGTTAGATTGTGTAATAATAAGTGTGTCGTTCACCTACCACCACCCGACACAGACAATTAGTAAAGTTTGTCACGTAAACAAAACGTGCCACTTAGTTACTACTTCAGCACCCCCGGTGTGTTTGACAATAAACCCACAAAATGTACAACTTGAGTGCGACGTTTCGCTGGTCACTTTCAACCGGCTTCATCAGGCGATTGTGACATTGCACCACGGCAAATTGAACGCGCGAAGGAGATTGAGCGCTCAAACATTCACCTCCTTTTGTAGCACGGACGGCCGCAACGTGTACGACCTGTCGTTCTCCTGCTTCTCGAGCTTCTCCAAGCACCCGGACAATGTGTCCGTCATCTTGGATGTTGGGCAGAAATTCCACGACGCTTCCCTCATGACACCCAAGCCGGTCACGACCCACGTCGCTTGGCCCAACGAAGTCGAACAAGTGCCGGGTAAGGTCAGACCTCCGTGCCTTTCGATCTCTCACGCTGACACGGTTGTTTTTTGCTCTCATTTCTATTTGCTTCATTTGCTGTACTTTGTCTAATCTTATTATTTTTTCGTGTCACTTTTGGTGATCCAGACTACTCTTGCAAATGAGACTCATGCTGGTCTCTTTGGGTTCTCACACCTGGTTAATCAAAATAAACGAGAAACTTATCTTCAAACAGATTCAGAAATGATTTTGGCATGCCACATCCATCTCGCCATATTTTGTCCTCATTCGATTCGTAAAAATATATATATACTGTATAAACCTGTTCACGCGATTATAGGAATCTTTAGTGTGTGTGTGTGGATGCCTCCCATCCCACAGTGGATTGTAAAATGGCCACACATGCACTTTATCACATTGTCAATTCCAGTCAAGGCTCATCACATGTCACTTTAACAGCCCTAAACTACCTTCTTGCATGCCGGTCAAACCAGTGATGTAGCGATAGAGTTTGCAGGTGTGCAATTGCACCAAGGCCCACTGGAAATTGGATAGGGGGCCTCATTTAATGTCTTACACCAGGACCCATTCCAACCACGCTATGCCACTGGGCCAAACAAAGCATATTCAATAATAGGGTTTTTCCCCTTTTTTTCTGGCAACAAAACTAAACCTTTTTCAAAGGATTCATGTCTGCATTAACCGCAATGCCTGCAGTCAAAATGCAAACAAAAAACATACTATGATAATATATGCATTGTCCTTGAAACTGATTGGTCCACACCAAGGGATGGCTTTCTTTTGAGCCTCGACCCAATTGGTGCTCGACCAGATGACGCCAAAAGCATATTCAGTTTTAGAGAAAGCGACTTGTGTACCATTCGTGTTAAGTATAATCACATGGAGTGCAAATGTCAATTCTGTTGGGATAAGTGACCCATATGAATCCATAAAAAGGTGAGAATAAGTCTTCCAGACAGGCGAAGGCAGTGTTCATTTTTTGCTTGCTTGCCTTGGGGCATGGGGGATGCACAAGTCTCAGAAGTTATCTTGGCATTCTAACATAATTTCTTCACAGACATTAGACCCCTGGGCCAGTCGGCCATCTAACAGTGGTCCATAATTCCCTTTAAAGTGTGAGCTCGCCGAGGTCAAGAGTAAGGGTCAATGTCGAAATTACTTCCCAAGAAATGGCAGGATCAAAACACCGAAAGCTAAGAGTCCTAAGCTCTCTTTCTATAAACTGCTTTTATGTAGGAAATGAGTGGGTGCATGGCTTATCGACTTCTTGCAGAGCAGCACAGCTACAATCGCAGCTCTCGATCAACATAATGCTAATAACAGTACTGCTAAACTCTATGCTGGGCAGAGGTTAAGCGGTGTCATGAAAATGAAAAGTAAAGTCTCCCTACTCTTTTGTTCTTTCGGTAAAGTCACGTAAGTAGAAATAATTTATAATTTATTTTATTTCTACCTACGTGGCTTTTATGTGACTTTACCGAAAGAACCAAAGAGTATGGATTCCTGCGGTCACGAAAGCTTAAAATCAAGATTAAAGTCTCCCTGTTGAAATGAGCAATAGGATGGTCCGTAAATTCCTCAGCCTTGCGCCATCGTCATTAGTCATGATCTATCCACCGCTGGATGAAGTGCTCCCCTAGCTCTTGCGATCTCCCCCCAGCCCTCCATTGACTACTGTTGACTTTCCACGTAGTAGTATCCATTGAAACTAGCATGGGTGAGGGCGGAGGGTGATGGGCTGAGTCAACCCCTGATTTGTGTGTCAAGTACTCTAATGAGAGCGCATTTCGGCACCGACCTATCTACTGACCTTTTTTTTTTCGCCAAGATAGTGCAGTCCGTGACACTCTGGGACAAAGCAAAAAAAAATGTAACGCTAAACTTTGTTGGCATTTCATTAACCCCCACAGTCCACCGCTGCTATTGATCTTCTCAGCCCTTATTTAGCGAGCAGCCTGTAAGCAATAAAGCAGTACCAGTGAAGCGCTGTTCTATAGGATTGATCTCTTAACCTCCTTCAGCAACAGCAATTGTGAGTAATCACAATCCAAACTGACATGTCCAGTGCCCTTGTATTGAGAAACCCGAATGTGAAAAGTACCGCCTGGATTGATGAACGGCTCCATACTTTACCTGTGAGTGATTGAGTCGGAATCATTGCATTGCCTTTTGTTATTAAAGTGCATAGCTATCATTTTTGTTGGTGCATCCACCGAATTTTAAGTTGTCCAAAGTAAAGCAAAATTTCAAGGGTAATTATATGCAAGCAATTGTGAGGCGATACTTATTGTATTAGGCCATTTTTTGCCATTCTACATTGTTCTGAAAGGGACAGGGGCTTGTCTTTTTACATGAAAATCACTGGTGACTTCGAAAAAAGTGGCAGTTGATTCATTCGTCGTGAGGGTATGATTGGCTGAGTTGATGCAGGTCTTTACATCATCTCTTGAGAGTAATGTTTTTGAAGTTCCTTACAGAAAGTTACAACAATATCTCGTAAAATTAAACTTCTGAATTTGTTTTAAAGAAACTTTCACCGCTGCAGAAGGCTTATAATAATCAGTTGGCTGCATGAGTCAACATCATGCAATCAAATCAACATTAGCACACGCAATCTCAACAGATCTTGGAAGCTAATCAGGTTTTAAGCCTGGTTATTACTTGGATGGGTGGCCAACAGGGCTTGCCAGGTGTTGCAGGCATGGGGCTCAGAGGTGGACGGGAGATGTCAGTGCTGAGTGTTACCCCCACATATGCGTGATGGGTATTTTCCAGATACTGCGGTTTCCTCCCACGAGAAGCCAAATGAACTCGTTAATGGAATTGACCAAACATCCCAATGTAGCAGAACTCTCCTGAAAATGCATTGATGCATTTTCGCGTACGCATTGCAGATGCGAGAGTGAACTCCACACACTGGTCAGTTTTCTTCTGTGAGCTTTAGGCTAACGTCGCCCTCTTGTGGGGCATGGTGTGATAGCCTCTCATGGTAGTCCCAGGAGGAACGATTTTCACCCGTCCCTGGTGATTCGATGCATTATCAGGATTCAATACTCTTTTGAAATAAATAGATATTTCAGTGAATGGCAGTGCCTGTAGTGGCTGCATGGGTGACACTAAACCATAACAAGCAATAGGCACTAATTGAAACATGCTGATTTTTTTTTACAAATTATTTTAATCAAGTATCATGAACTTTATAACGTATATTAGCGTAGTTGATTATTTTATATATTGCCCGATCCATATCAGTCTCAATCTACTTCATGTCGACAAACAACAAATTGTTACAATTGCTTAGGTGAGATTTGGGTCGTGACATTCGCGCGTGATGCAATGCCCTTAAAAGTATCCAAAATCTCCCTTGGAAAAGTGAACTGGTGTCTCAATGGGTTCACATCCAAGGAAAACAAGAGACTACCTATTGAGCACACACGTAAATAAAGAAAATTAAATTTCTTCACTATTCAATCATATTTGTGTTCAAGTTCGTCAACCATCAGCACAGTTTGTTCGATCGGCAGGTCGTGTGCGGCGAGATAATATGCGGGTACTCCCTCGCCTTCCAAGACGCCTGGCCAGCATTGAAGAGTGGGCCCCCCATATACCCTCGGCTTGAAGCCTTTCTGCCAGCAGTGCAATCAGTAAGGAATTGTGCAGGGCTCCGCCATTACTTTTACTGACGCGTTAACCGCTGACAAAAAAAGCCCAGCAAACCAAAGTTACCCCTAAACGCAACTCTCGCACGTTAAACTGCGATCATGCTCCACAACATTGGCCTTCACCAACGTAGGGGACAATTACTGCAAAGGGGTTGTAGCTATCGAGGGCGAAGGCGTTGTGACTGCACAGGGGGCACATGGGCAGGAGAGACCCAAGGTGGCGGACCACGACGAGGGGGAGAAGCTGCACAGAAGGGAGTCCCGTTTCATTTCTGTGCACCAGGGAGCATGCCAGGTACGCTCCGCCGCTGATTGCTGCATTGCACAGTCGGAGTGTTCATTGAGCAGCATGTCTGGTTCAAACGCAGTGTATGCTTTTTTTGTTTGTTTGTTAAATAACCACAACAATGTTATTGCGGTAATCTAGGTAAATGATTTTGATTTAAAGCTTTCGTGACTGCGGGGATTCATATTATTGGTTCTTTCGGGAAAGTCACCACGTAGAAGGGAAACAATAAAAAAATAAAAAAATAAAACATAAGTCACGTAGGAGGGAAATAATAAAACAATAAAATAATAAAAATGTTTTCTATTTTTGACTTTACAGAAAGAACCAAGAATGTGAATAACATGCCTAAGCATGGTGCTTTGTAGCCTTGAAAATGTATTTCACAAGCACGCACTGTGTTAATTTTTTGTTTATAGACGGATGAAGTTTGGTGTGTTCATTATTTAAATCTTAAGCACGTGTTTGAAAAAAGTGGCTGTGGTTTTCACACGTGGTGATGATGATTGCTTGTGTTGCAGTCGAAACGTCGTGAGAATTTTATAGTTTTTTTTATTGTTTCCCTTCTACGTGACTTTACCGAAAGAACCAAGAATAGGTAAATGATGCCTGGAATAATCGTCGTGATTATTTAATGGCGATGAGCTGGTTGATGGCAGGTCTCAGGCGATCTCGCGACGGCGCTGATTACGATGCAGAGCACAACAACAATGCTCTGAATCGCGGCATTTGAAGCCGCATTCGTTTTATTGGCCCACGCAGTAGTTTATGAATTTCATATATTATCTCATTGTCATCATCAGCCACGGTTAATCTACTGCTGGAGTGAAGGCCTCGCAAAGCTGCCGCCGAACATGAGATGTAATAAGGCACCTGGCACCTGCACACGAGGTGATTTCAGAGCTCCACCTCTATTCCGTGGGTGTAAATTTGGACGCGTTCCATCGCTTGGCTGCCACTGTCATTATTTCTTGACCATTGGCCAACATGCCTTGTAACGTTTTTCTTCAGCAAGAAAAAATTGCTGAAGTGGGCTGTGGTTGTCCCACCTGATGAAGATTGCTTGTGTTGCAATCGAAACGTCGTGATTCGTTTTATTTTATTTCTAACTACGTGCCTTTACCGAAAGAACCAAAAAGTATGGATTCCTGCAGTCACGAAAGCTTCAAATCAAGTTCCCATTGGTTGATAAATCACAGGAACAAAAAAATGTTTTTTTCTCTCAGGCGATCTGGGGAGGAAGTGTTATTTTCTTATTGCTTATTCCTCAAAAGTACAGAACATGGCTATTATTCCCCACAAACTTTTCTTTTGTGACCAGGACAGTGATATTTTTAAAATGACCTTTTTTCAATGAGAAAACGTGGTGTGCATTTGTGTCATACCTTCACGTAAAGTCCTGGTCACAAAAGCGAAGTTTGTGGGGAATAATAGCCATTTTTTTATACTTTTGAGGCATAAGCAATTAGAAAATAACACTTACTACCCAGGGACAAAACTTGTGTTACATCATGAACGTGTTTCATTTTGGGAGGCGCAAGGACTTCAAACTACGTGTCATGTAAAATGGCTATTTAATAATGAAAATATAAACACAGTTATAGCAAATAAATATACTTGCAAAAAGCCCCACAGGCATCTTTAGTATAACAGATTATCTGTTTGGGCTCTTACTGATAAAATAAAGGAGATTAACATGACATGTATTTACACGTGTAATCCACTGGTGAAAAAATACTGCCTGTCACCTACATCCACTCCATCTGGAATCCAAAAACCCCCCTGTGCGTTTGCTAGCTTCCTTTAATTCACACTCGTGACTGCACTTAATTGGATTTGTGAAGGGTGCAACAGAATTACAGAACAGGCCAAATATGTGCATCTCACCCTCCCAAGTGTTTACACCATCTCCCTTCGCGCATGAAGATAATTTGTTCTCTTTATATCCAGAGCTGGGACAAACGAGTCAAAGAAGTTTGATTAAGCTACAAATTATTGCAATTGACAGCTTATCTGTGCTCGATTACTCGGGTTCCTTTAAAAATGGCGGCCAACCCACATCCTGCTTACAGAAGGCTGGAAACCCCCAAGCTACACCCATCATGACGTGCCTGATGAATCCGATGTCATCACCAAGCCCCGCCCATCATCTCCATGTGTTGGCAACAGAGAAGATACTTTCCCCCCCCGACTATTTTCGTGTTATCCAATGACTCGAGTAATTAAACGGTTAATCGGTAGAGTAATCGATTACTTAAGGCATCGGATATCCCAACTCGACTTGTTACACACCCATATTTGCTGGAAGCATCCAAATTTGTATATCCTATGATCCAAATACCCATGCGGGAACTCCAACCTCCTACGTTGAACATTAGTCGTCATCGCCGCCACGACCACCTCCCCATCACTGTTGACAGTTGATAGCTATCAATGACTCTAGTCATTGTAAAAAACATTTTAAACCGAGTCTTCATTTCCATTTCATTCGGAAAATATGATGGAAACTGTGCTATCTCGCAGATAATTGCATCATCTCCCTCATGTAAAGGTCACTTATGCTTAACCCAATGTGAATATGTTCATTATCATCAGCAGCAGCAGCCATGATCTTGCCACTAATAGATGAAGGCCTCCCTGAGCAGTTGCCTCCTCTCACAGTCTTGCTGTGTGAGAATAAATGTAGCTTCGACACGTGAGAGAGCTTTCACCGCACACAATCCTAACTGGATTTCTTGTTGTGTCTGTTCACTCCTTTGGCTGACGCTCCATTGTTAGTCTCACCCACCGGCCATCGTCTCTTCTAACCACGTGGCCTGGACCAAGGCCACTTTTCTGAATTCAATATATCTCCAACGTGTGCGTGTTCTCTGATCCACGTGTTACTCTGCCCATCTCTCGATATAATTCCAAGCATGCATTCTTCTTCATCCTGCTTTAAACACTTCTCAGGTCCAGCTTACATTTTAATCAATCACATATAATAATACTGACAATAAATAAACCAATCACCACAGCCAATAAATAGGGTGTTATAAATTCTGCTCACACATTTAATGAAAACGTAACTGTCAAAGATATTTCACTACCTTAACGTGTTTAAACCGCATGATAGAGTGGCTCTCGTAATCCCAAGACTCTCTTGCATTAGTTGACAGAAAATTATTTATAATGAAGGTTTTTGGATAAGTTAGATCACGTAAGTATAAATGTGTCGTAACCCTCCACCACCCAACACAGTCAGTAAGGTTTGTCACGTAAACAACGCGCCAATTAGTTACCACTTCAGCCCACCGGTGTGTTGGAGAGTAAATCCACAATATTTACCATTTGAGTACGACATTTCGCTCGTAATTGCATCCAGCATCATCGGGCGATTTGGCAGAATATTCTGGGACCCCCGGTGTGTATGTGCGTGTACTTGTGTATGTCACGTGTGTATGTCACGTGTGTATGTCATGGGTAAAGAAATCTCGCAGGGGTTAGCTCACTGCTGAACCGATGTGTCAACCTGTCTTCGATTCCCAGCCAGCCACGATCAACTGAACCGGTCCTGGGCTTCCCCCTAAATCAACTCAGTCTTACATGAGTTCCTCTTTAATAATACACAAACAGTGGTACTGGCCAGGCGTGGTACTGACCACACCGCCCACTGATACACCATGCCAGTCTTCATAGGTGCTCACAAACAGTACTTTATCCAAAGAGGGGGATATTTACCTGTGTGTGTATGTTGCTGGCCACCTACCCCCTCGCCTACGGTGGAGGCCTTCATAGGGGCTCCCTAACAGCACTCGCCCCAACAGTCTGTTAAAGGCTATACGGGAATATTTGTCTTTGTTTGCATGTCTATATATTTTGATTTAAAGCTTTCGTGACTGCAGGGATTCATATTATTGGTTCTTTCGGTAAAGTCACGTCGAAGGGAAACAATAAAATAATAAAAATATAAAACAATAAAATTAACACGTTTCGACTGCAACAAAAGCAATCATCATCACGTGTGAAAACCACAGCCACTTTTTTCAAATTTTCTTGCTGTGGTTTTCACACCTGATGATGATTGCTTGTTTTGCAGTCGAAACGTCGTGAGAATTTTACTGTTTTATATTTGTATTATTTTATTGTTTCCCATCTACGTGACTTTACCGAAAGAACCAACAATATCTATATATTTGTTTACATACTTTATGCTACATTATTTAGAAGTATTACGAAAGCATCGTGTTATGTAAGTCACCTTCGCAGTGCGGAGGACAATTGAGTGTGAATCGCAGGTGTCCAAAACAGTTACAGAAAAAATAATCTCCAGTGGCTATCACAGTCCTTGCGACAGAGTGAAGTTGACGACGAACACAAAGGTCACTTAGTCATTTATAGTCGCATGAGCTAAGTTCAAATCCCAGCCGCCACTTACGTTAGTGGTGAACGATATATGAACTGGTCATATGGGTGCCCCGTTCACCAACTCACAATAACCAACGTGGTGACGTACTGGAGAATCAAACAACCCACGACTGACACGGCATGGGGAAGCAGATCGTGACAAAGGGTTGAATCATTTTTTTGGTACAGTACTTTGAATGAAAGGTTAACTATTTTTTTTTCATCCAGGAACGCTTCATTGAGTCTCAATTCTCTGGTCTCTGAAGGCTCATATTTTCCTGAACAAGCGGAAATGAAATTGGAGTATCCAGCCAAAATCGACATGAATACCAATTGAAATAAGTCCGCAAACTACTTACTGTACCGCCATCTACTGGTCACCTCGAAGCCCTGCAGATTGCTCGTCCCACAATGTCAAATGTAATGTACCGGACAAGCATTTAAGTCAATCCACTGCTGGATGAGGGCCCTCCCCACAGCAGAGAGCGTAGAGCACACGAGTTCATAAACCCAACCCCCAAAGTGCTGGATTGGCCGGTGTGATGGATTTACCGGTGCATTTTTTTCCCCAACCAAAATGCTATCGAAGTTCATTACCAACAAACAAAAAAACCGACATCGTTTTAGCAATACATCTGCATTTTATTGAGATATATCTCACGCGCGTTGCCTTTTTCTTATTCTCTTTCCAGATGGGATATTTCCTTCCAATTATTACTGGACGTGTTCCGAAGGATTCATGGTCGGAGGCAAGGACAACGGAAGGGTTTCACTGTGGGACATGTCCAGGGGGCCCGGCGCTGTGGATGGTATGCGAGCAATGACAAAGAACCCTGTCCTCACTGCAGGTCACGCGACGGCGCAGTGCCCGCGTGGGGCGCTGGGCAGAAACTGGTTGAGCGACTTGCGGACTGAGAGCTACGTGGCCAAAATCACGTCCGCTGTTCCGCACGCAAGCGGTTGATATTTTGCAGCCATCTACTGAATTCTGCGGGTTATTAGGTTAGAATACAGTACGTGTACGTGTTCACACAAAAAGGCGCCATCTGCTGTTACATTCACTTGAATAGCCACTTTTAAGTAATCGTGATCATTTTTTTAGAGAGTTACTGAAAAAGGTTGCCACCTGCCTAGGATGGTCCTCTTCTTCAAGTAGCTCCTGTCCCGGGGGGGGGGGGAGGAATCTGTAAATTTTCCCGGGAACTGAAAAGACCAATTTTTTTGATGTTTTTGTTTGAACCTCAGAGGTGGCAACCTCTAGTTAGAGTACTAAGCCAGCACCACTGATAGCCTGGGTTTGAATCCAGGCAGCCACTGTTAATAAACCCGATTCTCAAGAGTCGTGAGTTGACGTTCTCAGCACAATCACTCATGATGATTGAACAGCATGTATTTGTAAAGTGTGTGTTTCAATTATAATTCCCAGTGCGTCTTGAATAATAATATGCACATTGGGTGATTGTCACGCAAAAAAAACTACGTTACAAAAGCAATGCCATCTTCCAGGGCTGCTCCCTGACACAATGTTAGACGACCAACCTGAGTCATTTCTGTGTCAAATGACATGGTTCTTACAAAACAAATAGGACAACCTTGGTGGAATTTGAACATCGACCGCAAACAAAGATATCGTATAAAACAAACTCTATGACATTTCACGACGATATGACACTGTGAGTAAGTGTCGCAGACCATATCCAACATTTGAAAAGTGCTCTGAAATAAATCTCCACCAAGGACATCAGTCTCCCCTATACAGTACGTAGTTACGCGAGTCTCCTGAGCAAGACTAATTTTGTTTCAAATCAGTCCAAACTGGTCGCGAAAATAGGAAATTTAATTAAATTTCTACTTAACAAGCCCATTCCAGCTCGAAGGGAAACAATGACTAATTATATTGAGACACTAATTTGAGTGACACCTCTTGAAACAATCCTGCGGTGTTATTTTACATAGCCATTCCCTGACGTGATGTAACACAAGCAGGGCACTTCTTTACGTTATGTACGACTCCAACAGAGTAATTGGAACAATATTGAGTTACATTAAAAACAAACAATTGCATCGATGTTGTTTGCGTATTATCATTATTGGTGGAGCGCTGAACTATGAACCCAGCAACCGAAGCTCAACTTCCAGCCACGAAGAACATCAGTGGCGAATTATAACCGAGTTATGCCCCCAACCCCCTCACTTCCCCCACTTCGCCAGCCCGCACTGAACAGCATGGTGAAGTATGGTATAAAAAAAAACATATTGACTGACATGGCACGGGGAGGCCTTCACCCATTAATGCCTAATCGATTTAAATAAAAATGCTGGAAATTACTCGTATTACATATTTAACTTTTTTTTTTTTACAAATAACCAATTATACCTTTAATAATTAAATACCATTGTGATAATCAAATGTCATAGACGATATCCATAATTTGATAACAATGCCCAACCAAATGAATTTGATCAGCAACAACAGTCTATCCTTCTGAAGTTGCTTGGGACTCCAAGGCAACCGTTATTATATCCTTGATGTCTCATTTGTGAGAATTTTATTGTTTTATATATTTTTTATTATTTCATTGTTTCCCTTCAACGTGACTTTACCGAAAGAACCAAGAATATGTCTCACTATTGTAGATAATCGAAAAATGTTATTGGAAAAAAGTATCTTAAATTCACCTTAAAAAGAAACTGGCACCTGCTTAATCTTCTATTTGTGTAAATGTTTTGTCAGATCACGAACAACGCCCAATTTACATTTATGCGTCTTTCACAAGCGTTGCATTTTTCATGCGTGAAATTGCAATAAGTTTGCTCATTACATACAAGTTAAGTAATATGCGACTTCATCACCATGTCATCATGCACACACCAGCTTAGGAAGTAATTTCTCTCTTTGCAATTATTCTGACTCATTTGAAGAAACATTTGGATCATCATAATGGACAGATCCATGACTTTCACTGTAAAAAATTTCTAAGGGATCACGTGAAGGGTATAGAAAGCTAACTACGAGATGCATGCGTGGAGACAGTTGGCTGCTAACCTATTTTGTGTAGAATTGTGAGTGTTATATCCTTTTACTGCATGGGAAAGGCTCTGGGAATAATATTTTCCATCTGCATACCTAATAAGCAATTTATCCACCATCTCAATTCAGGACCCTACACCATTATTCTATTTCGTCTTTTTTGAATTAATTTTCCGTGACTAAATAACCCTTAAGCACCCAATTACATAAGATCTCAGGAGCTAAGCAGAGTTGAGCCTGGTTATTACTCAGATGGGTGACCTCCAGGGCCGGCCATGTATTGTAGTTGTTAGTCTGCGAGCTGTGTCCAGGAGATGACTGTGCTGAGTGTTATCCCCGCGTAAAACATTGTGGGTTTTCTCAAGGCACTCCAGTTTCCTTCCACAGGAAGCCAAACACTTATTAATCGAATTGGCCAATCATATCGATGCAGGACCCTTCTGACGCTGTTCTTGGTCAATACAAGGAAACATTATGAATGATGAAAATAAAGTGAATAAAAAATATTAACTTTATTTTTCATTTTTATTTTTATTATTTTATTGTTGTTCTTTTTTTATATCTACGTGACTTTACCGAACGAACCAAAGAATATGAGTTCCTGCAGTCACGAAAGCTTTAAGTGAATAATTATTAATCATTGTTATTAAAATATGGCTAGGCAGGGCGTGTGACATGGCCATGACAATTATCCTGGGCAAAGGTTAATTCAACCCATCATTCCTCTGGAATAACTCAAATGGTTCAGGACTGCCAATGAAGATGAGCAATTGCCTCATGCTTGTTTGAGCATGCAAACACTTTCTGACCACTTTTCGCTTCCCAAAAAACAGTACTCAAATTAAATTTTGATTTAAAGCTTTCGTGACTGCAGTAATTCATATTCTTAGTTTTTTCGGTAAAGTCACGTTGAAGAGAAACAACAAAATAACAAAATATATATAAAACAATAAAAAATTCTCACGACGTTTCGACCATAACTCAAACGGTCATCATCAGGTGATGATGATGTTTCTCTTCAACGTGACTTTACCGAAAAAACTAAGAATATAATATATAGTACTCAAATTATTGACCCCAGAGGGACGATGGGACGAATCAATCCCTGACCAAGTCATTTGAACTCACAACCTTCCCGCTTGTGAGTTGATCTCTTTAACCACAGTGTCACGCGACAAGATACAAATGACAGTATGTATCTGTGTGATATATTGCTTTGTTTTTGTGTTTCTCTTAGGTGTTTTGACGCTGACCGTGGACGAGACTGGGAATAAGTGGTTCTACCACCGCGTGGAATGGGTCGACATGGACAACGATGGCCTGAAGGACGCCCTGACCGCTCGAGCCCAGAGCACAGGACGTATGTGGCAACGCAGCCAGGACATAATGCAGCCAGTCGAGTCAATCACCGTCAGACTGTCTCGCGCCTCGGAGGGAAGCATTCATTTTATTACTTCAGTGTGTGTGTGTGGTTTTTTTTTCAAGACAAACGGTCGTCTTGCCAAGTGGAGTCGTGCTTCGTTATATTCAACGTTCACTCATTATTTGAAAGCAACTCTGCTCAGCCCTTGCGTGTCTCTCTCCGTGTATGAGCTAGACACCACGACTTGCAGAGGCTTTCGCGGCTGTATCATACAGCTCTCCGAAGTGGGGTTTCTTTCTTTATATGTGGTGCAGCGCGTTGTCCGGCATCATGTCCCACGTTTTGCTCCAAGTGCTTTCTTTCTCCACAGCAGGTGGGGGAAAAAGGTCTAACGTCATGCCGTGCAATGCACGGTACAACCCGACAGACACCTGTTTTCCGTAGAGCTGACCAATACATCATTTCTCTCCATGATAGAGTTTTCTTGGGGGTTAGGAAACAAAGCATGTCAATTAGTTACTGGTACAGCACACCGGTGTGTTGGAGAGTAAAGCCACAACATTTATCCATCGGTTACCGAAACAGGAGGATTTCCTCCACACTTCTGCCTGTCGTCTGATGAGGCTGGTTGTAACTACCACTGAAACGTTGTACTCGAATTGTCAATGTTGTGGGTTTACTCTCCAACACACCGGTATGCTGAACTAGTAACTCAAATCTTACTAATCTTACTAATTGGCAGTGTCGGGTTGTGGCGGGTTTAACGACGCAGTTATATCCACACCCCCCCCCCCCCCAATTTTTTCCCCTATTGTGTAGAATATTGGTCGCGAAAGCCTACGTGGTGTTAACAATCCCTCTCCTTCATTCCAGCGACGGGAAACGGCCAGCTGATCTGGTTCAAAAACCCGGGGCTGATGGGCGGCCAAGTGCAGGAGTTCTGGAAGGAGAACATCCTTCACGCGGGCCCTGACGTGTATTTCCGTGCCGTGCGGCTCCCGCTGCCAAACGGCGGCACCAAAATGGCTATCGTCAGCACCGTCTTCTGGGGACAGCAGCTCACCGTCACCTGGACGTCCGGCAAGTTACCGTCCGGATCACAATACGTGTTATTTGCCTGTCAGTCACGGCACTTGGTTAAGCGATTTTCAGCGTAAAAAAAACACAAACTGTCCAGTCAGGGCTTATTCTGACTGGAAGAAGCCTCGGATCATTTATGGCAGTGATGATGAGTCATATGCAGCCTTTGCCCCCCCCCCCAAAAAAAAACACACCAGACCGAAACATATACGTTTTAACTGATGTCCAGTACATATGTATGTTGAACTTCTTTCGCACCGCATGTAGCCAACCGTGCTAAAGAGAAGGACACCATCTCTAATACAACTCGGTACCAGGCTGGACGATGAAAGGAGTTCGTTGGTTGCTGTAGTAGTACTATCTACTTCATGAGAACTTCATTGTCCACGTGTGAATCAGTGGGTAGCCAAATAATGAGGCAAAAAATGACCAGTTGGGTGGAGCTCCAAGGCACTAATGAGGTTTTCAGGTTGCTTACGCAATAACGAATGTGGTTGAGAATAAATTGTCTAGCAAGGGCTGGTGCTGGCTTGTATTCTACAAATGCCACTGTCGCACAATCACCCACCATACCTCGTGTGCGTTTTAATGCCACACCACTGTTTTCACATGCCTTGTTTCCCTCAGGCCAGGTGACTCTGTAGCAGTGCATGGGCTGACAATCAGTATATTGGTAAAAATCCTGGTTGCGGGCCAACTTAATCCATCATCGTCAACCCCCTGACGTAAATAAAATGAGCACCAATTTTAGAGAAGTCAACTTTGATTGTCTTTTAGTTACGAATGGTCCTCGTTCTCGGACGGTGCAATTCCCAACACAACAGAGATAGGCGGTAATAACGGTCTGCCATACGACAGACGTTTCTCTGCAGAAGCGAATGTTGGACAGTGCAATCCCTAAGAGTGCAGAGATAAAGCCACTGGAAAATAGTTCCATAATATCTCCTTCTGCGGAGCATTCTCAAACACATGGGGGTTAAATGCACTCCTGACTGTGAGGGTTCTGAATGGATCCATTTCATGACATGGATGCCAGTATTGCAATTGGAATAAAATTTGGAAGAACACTTTTTAATGAATGCCCGCTTGCACGAGGAGACAGTTTGACTGACGTGACTAAATTCCTTGCCTTGTATTTTCTCCTCATATGTCTCTGTGTACAAGAGGCATGCAGACTTGATAATGGGCTCTCGTTGAGTTTTAATACAGGGATTTGATTGACCGGTTGATTGAGTAATGAGCTACACCCACACTATTAAAACCTGCTCATGTATATAGGCGCATGATATTTTGTAATTGCACCTTTTTCATCACGCAAGAAGGTGCGAGATATTCCATACGTGCGAGATTTTCAAACACGTAACGTTGGGGATAAAGTAGACCTGAAAATGAAATTGTAAAAAATGGGATGATATCATTACAGCATATTTCCTGCGCAACTTATAATCCCCCCAAAAAACCATGAGCATATTAACTTTATATATGCTTGTTTGAGCATGTTATAATTATATCATTTTCAAACTGATACTTCAAATGCGAATATATATATTTGGTATGCAGACTACATACGATACTAAGAATTTACAGCGTTTGTAAATCCAAAGCTAAAAGGAGTTCTCTCCACACCATTTTGGTAATAATAGTTGTTCTGACCATACTTCACCAGGCTAGTCAGTTCCGGTAGGTGAATGGGGGTGGGCCCAGGACTGGTTCCGATACCAATTTCTATCAATGTTAGCCATGGCCCAGCATCGAACTTAGATAGCCGGGTTCATATAGCACATTTTGCTTAATAACCACCATGCCATTATCACTCCCTCCCACATACTACATATATTGTATGCATTAACATAATATAGAAGGCGGCGATAATGAGTAAGAGGAGTGAACTTCATAAGCCAGAACTCTCATTGCATTCACTTCGTAATTATTATTATTATATATAAATTGAATACTGGAGGATACTGAGCGTGAGTTAATTAGCGTAAGATTTAATCAAGCCGCACTTTGTGAGCTTGTCACGTTTGTGATATTCTAATGCACTGTGACATGAACGTCTTTTTCTCTCCGAATTGTTTAGACCCCAATGACAACTGGAGTGACTCATCCAAGACCATGTCTCGCGTTATTGACACAGAGGGCTGGTATTTTGATCTTAAGGCAAGTACACACACCTGTCTCTGGCCTTCTCTAAAGTCATGGGATTGTTTTTTTTACTCAGTGATTCATTGCCACGATTCAGGGTAATTATTTAATTCAATAATCAATAATAGCGTCTAGTGTTCACCGTGTCGTCCGTGTTCTGTTTCCACATTCATTCTATCTCATTTATAAATCAAATAATATGCAGGCAATATCCCTTCTTCCCATACCTATCCCTTCACGTTAACAAAACATACAAGTGGTTTTTAACACATCCTATCGGTCACACCAAGTTTTAACATCCAATGCCTGGTCAGCAATCAGGCTCTGCTTGAACCAATGACAGATAACTGCCAGATGTTTATAGGCAAGGACCCTATTAGATACAGGATCTTAGTTGAATGCAACATATAATACATGTATACAGTTGTGTTTGCTCCATTAGCTTAATTGCAACATTAATTTAGCCTTTGCATATAATCATTTGTAATTAATTGATGTATTTTCCGATCTATTTTAATTGACGCAGCATTTACAAGCATCTCCCCAATGCTACTGTGCAATATAATACAATGCAGCATCTAAATGCCACCGCATTTCAAGACACTGTATGCAAATAGTGGGCATATTTATTTCATGTTTACAGAGAGGCAGTTTACAGAGAGGCAGTCTGCAGTTGCAGATCCATAGTATTGACACTTGGGTGTAAATATTCCCTACCTTCATCTGCTCATAATGTCCCTCCCTGTGATGACATATTCCTTGTCCCATTCCCACCAATTAAGCAATCTCTACCCTCGTTATATTAGTCTGTGTTAGTGTTGTACTCAAAGACTTGTGGACGTTCATTATAACAAGTTATAATATATTTTTTAACAGTGCTCGTTATGATTGTGATATTTAACAATGACGATAATTGTGATCGTCGTGTAAATATTATTATTGGTGATGGTGTTTAATAATTTTCACTATTGATATTGGACAATTATGATAATGGTTAATATTGAATGATAATTGATGGTATTGACGTAGAATGACATGTACACATTATCATTGATATTTCATTAATTGTATTTTGGATGTCAAATGACGACGACGACGACGATGATGATGATGGTAATTATGATGAGTATATATGGCGACAATTCTTTGGGGGCTTTTCAACTCAATTCCGTGGACATTCGGCGGCCTTTATTTTCACCTGGTGAGAGCCAATTGATTCCTGGATACAGGTACAGTGCAGGTAATGATGTTCCTGTATCCTACAGCAACCGGTAAGCAGATACACCCAGTGGGCTCTCGCCCAGAGACAGCCCTCCACAATCATGACAGCAGGCATATATACAGTATCGGGTTCTTGTTTTTTTTTACAGCCATTTCACACTTGTATTTCATTTATGGCACACACAAGTTGACCTATTTTTGCACACAGCGTTGGTGTACGGTGCTATTACAGGAATACTTTGATGTTTTTTTTTCCTGGATTTTCTGTTTGCACAGTCACAGTCACTTTAAGATGTTTTCTTGTTCATGTTTTTTGTTTGTTGCGGTTGCACCCGATTCAAGAGCCGAATGGCTCACAGGGCTATACCAAAATAAGTGGAACTATGAACTATTTTGTTTACCTAGTTATTGTTGCAAAAGCTGACGTCGATTATTTTTCTTCTTCTTCTTCATATCCTGTGAAAAAGACGAGGCACAGAAAGGAACGCGTGGGAAATCGAACCGCCCACGGCTCGCACACCGGCTCAGTGCTGAGCACAGAGAGAGCTGGCCTACACAGTCACCAAACGCATTCATCGAAAGCAAATCAATATCATTATCATCAGCCATGATCGATCCACTGCTGGATAAAGACATACCCAAGCCGCCGCCTCTTATGATCAAACTGATTGCATTTTTTCCATCTGCTCGCTGGATGTCCTCCCATTGTGCTCCTTGTAAATGGGTTATTTATTCGAAGAGCAGCGCGAAAAATTGATGGGTGTTACTTCAGCTATTGGAGAAAGATTGTACTCCAACGATGGATTGATGCATATATAGAACACTTCACTGACCTTTTGTCAATGCATTGCTGGATGAAGCCCTCTGCATACCGTGTCGGTCATACAGGGTATTTGGCCATACTTCACCACGCTGGGGGGGGGGGGGGGGGGGGGTGCAGGGCCAGTACAGATGTCATTCGTCACTGATGTTAGCCATGACCGGGAAATCGAACTCGGGTAACCCGCGTTCACGGCCGTGCCACCACTTAACCCTTAAAACAAATGCCGCAACACAATGCGTGCAGCAGGAGGTGAATTCAATGAGCATCTCGAATGCGCCGACAGTGGTGGCAGACCGGCGGAAGCAGCCCAAGCAGCTTCCCACGATGGAGCCGTGGTGGTGGGTACCCAGCACTTTTGCAGCAACAGCGGCATCCTTCATCATTATCGCCACACGCCGCATTTGTGTCTTCACAATCAATGAAGTCCACCTGCTCACGTTATCACCTGAGACTGGAAAAAACCTGAAGCGCACTCTAAATGTGGAGCCACAAACAACTCACTGAGGTGTCTACGCTTAGGGCCGCACATAGTTTTCCTGGAGGTTGCCGGGGCAGAATGTCACGCATGGACCCGGCCACAAATTATAAGTCAACGAAGTTGGCTTATCACGTGGAAATGCACAGCAGCCCAATACTTTAAATGCATGTTTCTAAACGCGGAGGGAAACACCGGAGGACCCGGAGAAAAATCCATTGTAAGGGTCGTCAGGGTCGGAATCGAACCCACTACCCCCCTCTGTACCAGGCGTGGTAGTTAAAATTTCGCCCCCGTGGCGAGAAAATGGGGGGGGGGGGACTGCCTGCCCCTCACACCAACATATACATAACCAAGGGTGTTTGACAAAAAAAATGCGGTTGCTTTCGCGGACTTGACTAAAATAATTTACTTCCTGAAATCCGCCAAGACTTAAGCAAACTTCCACAGGTTGTCGTCGATACAGAGGAAGGCTACGGCTGGAATTGCACGGGCTTTTGTCGTCGACTGCAACGAGAGATGCCGACTAAATTAA